TCCACCTTGCGCGATCGTCACTCCCGAAAGGAGCTTGTTGAGCTCCTCGTCGTTGCGGATCGCCAGTTGCAAATGGCGAGGGATTATTCTCGTTTTCTTGTTGTCTCTGGCGGCGTTTCCCGCGAGCTCGAGCACTTCGGCGGCCAAGTACTCCATCACTGCCGCCAGATAGACGGGAGCGCCGGCTCCGACGCGCTCAGCGTAATTTCCCTTCCTCAAAAGCCGATGTATCCTTCCGACCGGAAATTGAAGACCGGCTCGATTGGAGCGGGACTTGGCCTTTCCCTTCACCTTTCCGCCCTTCCCTCTGCCCGACATGCTTTCCTCGTATGTATTTCGTCGCTCGACAATGACAATGAAAAAGTGACAACGGCTAAACGTCGGCCGTCACTGCTGCTGCGTGTATGAAACCGAAAAAGTTTTTTTTTTTTTTTTTTTTTATGTTTTCGTGGAAGAGGGGAAATCTTCAAAAGACACCCTGCCGTCCGAACGACAGGGTAGTGTTGGATTCACTCTGAAGGAGCGCCTACCAACTAAAACCCCTCTACCTCAGGCCGTTTTAGGACCAGTGTAGTTGGTCCTCTTCAGCCATATGTGTGGTTCTGTTATGAGGTTTGTGACTTTTTGTGTGTGTTACTTGTGTGTGTGTGTGTGTTTAGTTGGGTTGGTTTCGTGGTTATCTGATGGAGTTGGGTAGGGAATTAAGGTGATCGATGAAATCATCGGGGAGATCTGGGGTAATGGACAGGAGTCGGGCGGGAGGGATGTAAATTTTAAAGTGCAGACAATTTTATAGGTTTAAGGTCGGCAGGCGGTCCCTGCTGTTAGGAAAGATACGGGGGTGCAACGCCTCCGAGTGGTCTATGTATTGTTCTAATGATAAGGTTGTTGACTCAGAGGGTAGAAATTTATAATACCCAATATTCCTGTTTATGATTGTCGGACCATCCGTCGACGTCCAAAAATATCCTAAACGTGCTTAACAATGAAAATAGTTTTGAGAAGATATCATAAACCTAACAATATACTTAGAATAAGAGAAATTTAATTTTATGTACAGAACAGATACAGACAGGGAAATAGTGCAGAATATTCTAATGCAGTATATGTTATGCATGTTTCTGTTTCATATTAATTTTATTTAATACTTTTAATAGAATGTTAATCTTTTGTCGCCTACATTGTCAGCATCAAAATAGTTCGATTATTTTGAACGTCCTTGTTGAAGCTCATCTACATCTGCAAAACAAGGTTAAGTGCAAGGAAGTATGATTAATAATAATAACTGTTATCCACCTTAAAGACAACTTCTTCCTCATCCTCGTTTTCGTCCATCACTGTGATGTTGCTGCAGGTTTTTTCTCACAGTTAATGCACAAATTGGAGCAGCAGAGTATCGCCTTTCTGCACCTATCATTCCGTTGAGAACTTTTTGTGCACTTACAGGACACCGTTCTATAATAACGCAGGAGTAGGAGTTAGAAGCGTGACAACACGGTCATGACCTGACGCTTCCATTACCACTCTTCAGGGTTCTTTTTTTACACCGATCTGGTAGCTGATTCTGCAGATGGTGGTAAAGCAGCTCTGAACTGATCCTGAAGACTACCTTACTGATCCTGAAGACTACCTGACGTTGTACTGTAGATTCTGAGTTATTCAAGGGAAATCGGAGAAAACCCAATTTTTTACGGTTTCTTCTTGTGAAGAAATATATTTTTCACCAAAACTTTTGTCGGAAAACTTCAGATTTGTGTTTACCAGCCAAAAGTATTGCACAGCATCAAAAATCAAAACTTTCTTTCTTTGACATTTTTACGACAAAAGTTGCCTGGACTAAAATGGATCTAACAAACATATACAGGGTATCTCACGGTGACCACCCATTAGAATATTTCGGAATTTCTCAATTTCTCAATTAAAATAATGGCATTTATGTAGCACTTCTGGTTATACCGGAACTTCGTTATATTAAATGTAACACTCTGTATATAAGGACAGATTTGAATTTGATACTTTTTTTTAAAAAATTAATATCTCGAAAGCGGTAAAGTTTAAAAGTAGAAAAGCATTACAAAAGTCTACCTAAAATCATAAGTAGAATTCGAAACCGTCATTATGTACAGGGTGTTCCATTAAAAATAACGAAGTTGGTGTCAACTTCCGGTATAATCGGAAGTTCTAAATAGACGCCGTTATTTTAATTGAGGAGATCATATCCAATAACACTACTATCCAACTTTTCAAAATTCGAATCGAAGTAGTTTCCGAAATATTCTAACGGGTGGTTGTATACGTATATACGGTACATATCTATAAAGAATGACGATACGTCCACGATTTAATGTATAGTACATATAATAGCTCGCAACTTTATATATCCTAACTTAAAATTTAATGAAAATTACTACTTATAATACCAGCATTTACTTCAGAGGTGGAGATTTTTTTTCGTTTTTTAGATCTCATTGAACACTATTTGAGAATATATTGCTATCGAGTTGTTTGATCGTTCCGAAAAAAAATGCTTTGATTAAAATATATGCTTGCTCTTTTTATGGATAGCATTATTCCTGTATATAACTTTATCTTAGGTCTATACTGCCAATGATACGAGAATGCAAAATATTTGAAAGCCTAAAGTTTGAAATACCAGCGAACGCGAAATTTATAATTGATAAAGCTGACTCGTTACGAAATACGTATGAATGTGTACTACAAGTAGTTCTGGATTACAATGCTATTTTATCAGCACTTGCAGACGAAGAGAGGATACTCTTTAAACAATTAATAGGAACTGTAGAGAAAAGAATTCAGCCTGGTTTGATGGGCTTAACATGGTCTGTTGACGAAATTGAAGATTACGTTGCTGAATGTGGTGCTTACACTGCTGAGGTAATTTGAAATAATTTATAGCTACATTAAGATAGTCAGTCAGTTTTCGTATTTGCATATTAAACTATTCTTAAAAATATGATGATGTTGTTCTGAATCGTTTCTAAAAGTCGTCGCTAGCACTATTACTTATCTTCTTTAGATGTCCTTCCATCTCCGATGATGGATGTGAACTGGCGATTTCTCCTGCGCAAGTTGTATTTAGGTCAGAGGGTAGGGAACAAAGCTTGTTCCGGATTAGTCCGTTCGGTTGTTCCTGAGGATCGGGTTCCAGATCTGGTTGAGTCTGAGGGTCTTCTCATTCCGAATGTTTTGGATCGTGATGACCTCTCTAGTCATCCTGTTGTAATAGCTGTTGACAGTAGCTAGCAATTTACAGTTCTCAAAGTGTATCTTGTGGTCACCTTTGCTCAGTGTGTATTTGGCCCCACAGCCGACTTTTCAGTGTGTCCTAGTCGGCAGCTTGTCTTGTACTCTTTGAGTCTCGTTCCCATTGATCTCTTAGTGGTTCCTAGACAGACCTTTCTTCTGATGGTCTCTTGGATCTTCTTCGTAGGTTTGCAGATGGTTTTGATATTGTCTCTCTCTAGGTCTCTACCAATTTGATCCGTAATTTTTAGACCGTATGGTAGATATGTTAGAGGGGTAGTGCACTATTCGTTGATCTCTGGTGCCCTTAATCTGTTCGTTGATTTCTACCTTTTAGATTTGCTTCATACACGTTTTAAGATTACCTTTTACTAAAGAAATAGAAATTAGGGAAAATTCTACTTTCGAAACACCAATCAGTTGTTACAAAATATAGCATAAAGTTAGTTATTCCGAGTATCTTCGTTAGTTTTACTGTTTGTCATCAATTTTTGGACCAGTTAGTGTTAGACATTTAATCATAAAGACCTGCACATCATACTGCTTGTCGTATATGCATTGCCTATTGTTCATTAATAATGTCTTGCAATTTCTGCATGTAACAGCTACAAGACTTTGTGGATGATTACAAGACATGCAACATGCAAATAGTGATTATCTGTGAGAGGGTTTGTGCTTTGACCATAATTTCATTGACTCACGATTCTGCATTTACCATTTACGAGTTAGTAGAAGAAATGGATCGACTAACAAGGGATGCGTTGACTACGTTAATAGAATTTTATCAAGAAATAATTCGGTATCTAATAGTGGTTTATGAAGGTTTTGAAAACATTATAACATTGGTAAGTAATGTAAATTTAACAGTTCTTATTAAACTATGTTAGGTTAGGTTCGTACGTTGAAAACCATCGACGTTTACTAATGGACATGCCTTAGTGGTCAGAATTGTGGTACAACAAAAGAAAGAGATGGAACGAAGTTTCGAACAATATCCATCTCTCTCACTATAGTGCGTAAGCATGTCATGAAAGAGATAGCACTAGTCCGAAACTATACGCCATCTCCCTCACTTTTCGAGCCAAGAAATTATTACAATGACATACGGCTAAGGCACGTCCATTAATGTATGTCTATGTTGAAAACAACATTATAGCGTGAAGAAATTGTATTTCCCGATTCTAACCGCGTTTTTTTTAATGAAATCCTTATGACGGATCAGGGTGGCGCCAAAAATGTTCGATGTTTCGTCAAATATCATAAAGGACATCTTCAGGAATTTAACGATGTCGAGTTCAACACCAGCGTAGGAAATCCTCCATTGATAACGTGAAGTTTTCATTATAATCTAACAACCCAGCGATTGTATCGCACTTGTTTTTATTTCAATATGAGATCTTTGGGTCAAGGAGGCCAGAAACATTAGTCGTGTTGTAGAAGGCACTAAATATCTCCGAAGCCACTTCTTTAAACTCTTTCCAGAAATGGCACCGTGTAACGTGCTTTGCATATAACAACCTCAGCAGTAAAAATTAATCTTTTTAGTCGATTTGACAAATATCCAAAACGTTATTATAATATGTCGACTTTCAAATCATTTATTAAATAAAATAATAAGACTCTCCTTGATTACGATTTTTTTAATGTTGATAAAAGACACTTGTTCATTTTGATTTTGTGGCTAAATATAAGGTATTCTAAAAGGTGTATAGAAATTGAAATTTTATATTCTGGTTTATGCATAATTTATCAGTACTCTTACCGATTTAATTATTCATGAATGTAGATGGCAAGTCATTGGATTAAATATATAATGAATTTCGACTTCCTCTTGGAAGAGGCTGTAAGAATATGCGTAAGAAATTCCATGCAGTATATGTATCAACAACTGCACGGTGATGGAACCGTTGGTCCAAACCCCCTTTTAAAATTAGAAGCAAACCTAAGACATAATAGGGTAAGTAACAAAAGTAAACATTAAAATATGAATACAGTACAATTAAACCATTTTAAGAGCATTTAAGCACCATCAAATACGGGTACCTTTATTATTTTGTCAACCTTTAACAACAGCGATGTTTGAGTGTACTGTGAATTCATTTTTCAATTACAGATAAATTTTGAACCTTCTCTTGCCCAAGTTGATTATGTAGTGTCCGATATACTACCTGGCTTCACTCGTGCATTGAAAGGATTACCCAGGATAGTAGATAAGTTTAATGTTTCTGATACGCCCGTTCGGCCATTTGCAGATGTAATTGCAAACGATGGAGAGTGTAAGAGACTTCAAGAACTCATGAATAACGGTAACTACTTTTGTTTCATGAAATAAGTCAATAAGGTTGGCTTTTATAAAGGTACAATAAGTGATTTTATCTTTTTTCAATGTTCGTTAAAGAAGTCACTTCTATGCTCGCGAATGGTTAATTTAGAAATTCTAAAAAGGTTCTTAAAGATGTGTTTAGAGTGCGGCATTGTACGGGTGCGAAACATGGACAGTTGGCGCGGCGGAAAAGAAAAGGTTAGAAGACTTCGAAATAGGCGAATGAGGAGGATAACGGGGGTAGAAAAGGTTAGAAATGAAGGGGTATTAGAAAGAATAGAAGTGAGGATTCTACGGAAGTTAATAAGAAATAGGCGAGATAGGTTAGTAGGACACCTTCTCAGGCATGAAGGTCTAGTCAGAGACATATTAGAGGCAGAAACAGGAGTTAGGAAGGGTAGAGGTACACCTAGGTCAGATTACTGTTCGCAAATAGTTAAGCATGTGGGTTGTTCTAGGTTGTTCTTCGTTGATGGAGAAAGGCTCATAGTTAAAATTTTAAGTATCCTAGCAAGTGGAGAGTTTATATGAATAAACAGGTAAAATTGATATAAAAACAAAAGACGACACGTCATCGGTGCACTAAGTTTATTTGGTATGGACACTAATTATATACTATATACAAATAAAAATTAAAANTCGGGTATTTGTATTTAATACCTATCTGTTCAATGCCTACATCTATTGTTTAGGTCAATAATAATGAATATTAAACATATGCAAAAGGCAATACGTTTACTCATTTAAATAATTGTTTTGGCGCTATTTTCCTACGCACGCTATTACCATGATTTAATTTTATCTCTTTACTTTAGAATTTCAGTGGTAGGCGTTGTTTCAAACCTTGGAGGTGTTAAAAAGGAACTTAATCTATTCCTTGGCCATTTAAGAAATCTTTCTTTTTTGACATTATGTTGAAAATATTGTAGTTGTTGAATATAGAAGCGATAAAACTAAAAAAAAAAAGAAATGTCTCTTATAGTATACTTTATATTAATGCTGTAGAACCTCGTGAAACGATTGAGCGGCATTGAGACCCTGACCGGTTTCCGTTTTGATCGGTTAATCGGAGACGCCAGACCGGGTTTTTGTGTTTATTTAAATGATTGAAACTTGTTAGAATATGAAGAACTAAAAAAAGACAGTAAGATTTTTTATTGCAAAATGTGTCGTTTTCTTCAAAAACGATTGTTGTAACTAAATGAGACGCTTGTGGGATTGTTAAATGACTAAAAAAGTTAAATTGTGAATTAAGTTTAAACAAAACATAGTACTATGACTAAAACAAAAGAGGGTCGGTCTTCAAATACACAATCAATCAATGTCTGTCGGATGCCGAAATCAAAAATTCGGGATTTTTTAGTTTCTTGTTCTACTTTCATGGTTTTACAGGTGGTACCCTAGCTAAAGCGTACTTAAATTAGATTTCGATTTTTACCATTATAGTTCCTTACACGAACACTGAAGCAAATCAGGGCATGAAAGGAATTGTGTGTCAGGACAACAAAACAATATATTAAAGTGAAAATATTGACTCAAAACGTGAAAACTTTAGCAAAAATTATTGGAATGTTCAAATTTCTATTAAATGGATCATTTAAAACTTTAATTGTTGATGAGGGATGTAGGGATGAGATACGGATATAGAAGAGTGATACATAGTTTGTACAAAGAGCAACAGGCAGTTATAGAACTTAAGCAGCAACTTACAGAAGTAAATATTAGGAAAGGAATCAGACAAAGATGCACACTGTCACCACTTTTTTTTAATCTACAAAGGTAAATGATTAGTATGCCTACAATTAGATGCAATATTTAACATCAGGCAAGGAGGAGTTAGAGGTAGTTTAATATTATGGTAATGATAATAAAAAAAATGGAAGCGGTATTGACAAAACAGTATTGTATATAAATAAATAATAGTAAAAAAAAAAATACAGATATGCATGGGAACAAATGTAGTGAAACAGCGAATATAAATATAGAAGAAGTGGCTTATTTTCGGTATCTTTTGGACGATGAGCTTGCCGGAAAAGAAAAGATTAGCCGATTTGGTCCCACTGGTCAGGTTATGCGAAGGTCTTCGACGACAACTACCTTTGTTAATTTTATTATCAGTTGTATGCAGGTTACAGGAATTTCATAGCTTAAGGCAGAGTCATACCTTGTTCGGTTTTTCTCCTTTTTGACATCTGGTTCGTATTCTTTTGTTGCATGCGAGGTATTGGTGATGGCATCAGAACAGTTTTTGAGTTAGTTACGTTTTGACTTTCTTCTTTTTAACTTGGGTTTTTAATTCATATTTTCTTCGTTGTGCCTGTAGTTGTAATTTGTTATTTCATACTTAATAATTCACATGTTAATAAAATCTGTATAGTGTTTTATATCGAGTTTTATTCGCTCCGTTAAAACCAACATTTTGAGAAAATACTACACGTGATTTCACGGTAAACACAGTTTGTGAGTCGACCATTGAAACTAAAATTTTGCTTTGTGATTTTTGGTTAATTTCTACTGTGACAAAAACAGTAACATATCAAAATTTTAGAGGTACAAGTAAACGTCCAACAAATGCAAAATTATCTCTCAATTTGGGAACCGTTTAGAGATATGTGGGAAGTTGACAAGGATCGATTTATCGAACGGTATGAAAAAGAAAATCCAAACGCTGCCCAATTCGATGCAAATATTGGAAGATATACTGAAGTGGCGAACAACGTACAAATTCAAGAGACTATTTCAAACGTTCATTTTATTGTCGTCAATTCTACTGAACTTAAAAAGTCGATTGTGGAGCATTGCTTCCTGTGGCAAGAAAAATTGTGCAAGTTGTTACATGATATGACAGTTGAGAAAATTGATGCAATCTACGATTACGTTGAATTATATAGTGAACTGTAAGTATCAGGGTAAATACTAATGTAGGCTTTTTTCTCTTGTGTCTAGGGGTTGTTCAATAAAAGGCTCCGGGTAGTTGAAAACATATATTTAATAAAGATAACAATGAAAATAAACAGCAAACAGCAAAACGAGTAACAAACAGGAACTAAATTTATACAACATATATATAACACAATATTTAATGTATCGCGTCTTCCAAAATACACACGTCTTCGTATAATCACCATAAATGTGTCTTTCGTCTTTTGAACAAAAATGCTTAATGTCTAAATTTTCTCTCACTGCCGCGGTGGTCCCTCACGTACCCCCAACATGCCATATATATAATACTCCTATATTGCTAGTTTCCGTAAGTGGAAGTGTCACGGATTAAGTGAGTCAACAAACGACTACTTCTGTTTCTTTTTAGATTACTCGACCCGTTGTGCGCAATCGTCACGAGTCTGTTGGGGTAAATGATGCGCGTTTATAGGCATGTTCAATTGTCGAGCATGCGCGTAATACTCGAAGTAGTTACGAGAGAGACAGACGCATATATGTCTGCACCGTTGGGTCGTCATCTTTTTTTAGACACCTATTAGCAATATAGGAGTAATATATATATATATATATGCAACATGCACGGAGGTAAAAATAGAGTGTTGATTTACCACCGCCTAACTAGCAATATCACTCTTCCACCTGCGCAAGCAAGAAACTACATTATACTAAGCCAAATCCTACACTAATAAAATCAGTGAATTAATTAAAATTAATAACGACAATTAAAGTAATCCAGCTGGAAAACATGAATGAAAAATTAAAAATAATTGTGTAATAAGATTGTCCTACATTCTTTTTAAGTGTAATAAAACGAAATTTATTTAAGATCATAATTTTTTTTGCGAAATCAACGTTTGATAACAATTTGATATTGGTAATCATGTAAGTAGATAGAAGAACAAAAAGATTAGTGAAGACAATTGCATTGGCATTTGTTTAAATTTTTCTATAGAAGAGGGGGCAAAGGGATAGCTATGTCCCCTCTTAGTCTCCTGAAGGATGTCCTTGTATATTTTTAAGCATTTAATGATTTATAAATTTATTACAGGGTTATGAAAAGGCCAGAAACATTGGATGATTTAGGAGTAGCAGAAGTTCTTCAAGCTCGGTTAAGAATGGAAGTGCCATTGCAAGAAGCTCAATTTCCACTTATATTTGATCAGCTGATTACCCTTGATAAATACAAAGTTGAAGTATCCGATGTTGTTCGAAACAGGGCAAAAGGGATTAGTGTATTGTGGAGCTCTTACTTAGAAATTCTCGACGATGCAGAAAAAATGTTAGGATATGCTAAGGTATATCGTAGAAATAGTAAAACGGATTAGAATATTTAAAATAAATTAATATAGGCATTATTCTGTCGTAGAGTAAAGTTTTTTCTTTCAATATGATAATTAGAAATGCTTGTATGTTTTGAAAGATGTAATTTTTAGTAGGTATTTGTTGTTTAGGATATTAAACACGTTTCCAATATGACTATTAAATTAAGTAGGTAGAGACAGTGATGGACTCAGCCTAAAGCGGGCCCTAGGTAACATTGTAATTCCGGGCCTATTTTTCAGTCATGACACGTACTTTGCGTTTGGTGGTTTGATTTTAAAGCATATAGTATGTAGTTCTATTTAACTATCGGATTCTAAGAAAAAATGAAACGTGGAACAAATTTTGCATGTACTTTCCTACCAGGTACAACAAAATATAACAAGTACACTTAGATTTGCAGGTGATATAGCAGTATTAGCATCTAGCAAAGAGGGGTTAGAGATAGCTTTAAATAAAATGGAAGCGGTATTGACAAAACAGTATTGTATATAAATAAATAATAGTAAAAAAAAAAATACAGATATGCATGGGAACAAATGTAGTGAAACAGCGAATATAAATATAGAAGAAGTGGCTTATTTTCGGTATCTTTTGGACGATGAGCTTGCCGGAAAAGAAAAGATTAGCCGATTTGGTCCCACTGGTCAGGTTATGCGAAGGTCTTCGACGACAACTACCTTTGTTAATTTTATTATCGATTCTCATCAGTTGTATGCAGGTTACAGGAATTTCATAGGTTAAGGCAGAGTCATACCTTGTTCGGTTTTTCTCCTTTTTGACTTCTGGTTCGTATTCTTTTGTTGCATGCGAGGTATTGGTGATGGCATCAGAACAGTTTTTGAGTTAGTTACGTTTTGACTTTCTTCTTTTTAACATGGGTTTTTAATTCATATTTTCTTCGTTGTGCCTGTAGTTGTAATTTGTTATTTCATACTTAATAATTCACATGTTAATAAAATCTGTATAGTGTTTTATATCGAGTTTTATTCGCTCCGTTAAAACCAACATTTTGAGAAAATACTACACGTGATTTCACGGTAAACACAGTTTGTGAGTCGACCATTGAAACTAAAATTTTGCTTTGTGATTTTTGGTTAATTTCTACTGTGACAAAAACAGTAACATATCAAAATTTTAGAGGTACAAGTAAACGTCCAACAAATGCAAAATTATCTCTCAATTTGGGAACCGTTTAGAGATATGTGGGAAGTTGACAAGGATCGATTTATCGAACGGTATGAAAAAGAAAATCCAAACGCTGCCCAATTCGATGCAAATATTGGAAGATATACTGAAGTGGCGAACAACGTACAAATTCAAGAGACTATTTCAAACGTTCATTTTATTGTCGTCAATTCTACTGAACTTAAAAAGTCGATTGTGGAGCATTGCTTCCTGTGGCAAGAAAAATTGTGCAAGTTGTTACATGATATGACAGTTGAGAAAATTGATGCAATCTACGATTACGTTGAATTATATAGTGAACTGTAAGTATCAGGGTAAATACTAATGTAGGCTTTTTTCTCTTGTGTCTAGGGGTTGTTCAATAAAAGGCTCCGGGTAGTTGAAAACATATATTTAATAAAGATAACAATGAAAATAAACAGCAAACAGCAAAACGAGTAACAAACAGGAACTAAATTTATACAACATATATATAACACAATTTTTTTAATGTATCGCGTCTTCCAAAATACACACGTCTTCGTATAATCACCATAAATGTGTCTTTCGTCTTTTGAACAAAAATGCTTAATGTCTAAATTTTCTCTCACTGCCGCGGTGGTCCCTCACGTACCCCCAACATGCCATATATATAATACTCCTATATTGCTAGTTTCCGTAAGTGGAAGTGTCACGGATTAAGTGAGTCAACAAACGACTACTTCTGTTTCTTTTTAGATTACTCGACCCGTTGTGCGCAATCGTCACGAGTCTGTTGGGGTAAATGATGCGCGTTTATAGGCATGTTCAATTGTCGAGCATGCGCGTAATAGTCGAAGTAGTTACGAGAGAGACAGACGCATATATGTCTGCACCGTTGGGTCGTCATCTTTTTTTAGACACCTATTAGCAATATAGGAGTAATATATATATATATATATGCAACATGCACGGAGGTAAAAATAGAGTGTTGATTTACCACCGCCTAACTAGCAATATCACTCTTCCACCTGCGCAAGCAAGAAACTACATTATACTAAGCCAAATCCTACACTAATAAAATCAGTGAATTAATTAAAATTAATAACGACAATTAAAGTAATCCAGCTGGAAAACATGAATGAAAAATTAAAAATAATTGTGTAATAAGATTGTCCTACATTCTTTTTAAGTGTAATAAAACGAAATTTATTTAAGATCATAATTTTTTTTGCGAAATCAACGTTTGATAACAATTTGATATTGGTAATCATGTAAGTAGATAGAAGAACAAAAAGATTAGTGAAGACAATTGCATTGGCATTTGTTTAAATTTTTCTATAGAAGAGGGGGCAAAGGGATAGCTATGTCCCCTCTTAGTCTCCTGAAGGATGTCCTTGTATATTTTTAAGCATTTAATGATTTATAAATTTATTACAGGGTTATGAAAAGGCCAGAAACATTGGATGATTTAGGAGTAGCAGAAGTTCTTCAAGCTCGGTTAAGAATGGAAGTGCCATTGCAAGAAGCTCAATTTCCACTTATATTTGATCAGCTGATTACCCTTGATAAATACAAAGTTGAAGTATCCGATGTTGTTCGAAACAGGGCAAAAGGGATTAGTGTATTGTGGAGCTCTTACTTAGAAATTCTCGACGATGCAGAAAAAATGTTAGGATATGCTAAGGTATATCGTAGAAATAGTAAAACGGATTAGAATATTTAAAATAAATTAATATAGGCATTATTCTGTCGTAGAGTAAAGTTTTTTCTTTCAATATGATAATTAGAAATGCTTGTATGTTTTGAAAGATGTAATTTTTAGTAGGTATTTGTTGTTTAGGATATTAAACACGTTTCCAATATGACTATTAAATTAAGTAGGTAGAGACAGTGATGGACTCAGCCTAAAGCGGGCCCTAGGTAACATTGTAATTCCGGGCCTATTTT